CTGCGGCCCCTCCATGCCCTCCGTGCTTGGCCCCACTGCGGGGGTTCCGGGCGCCTTCTGGGCCCCGCACTTCGGGCAGGTCTGGAGCTTCGCTGCCACGCCGCCGCCGGAGATGATGGCCCAGTCGGCGGTTTCCCACCAGCAACACCAGCAGCAGCAGCAGCATTCGTTGTTCTTACAGCAACAGCCGATGGGCGAGGCCTCAGCGGCCAGAGTGGGAAATTACCTTCCAGGACATCTCAATTTGTTGGCTTCTTTGTCGGGCGGGCACGGGAATTCTGGTCGGAGAGAAGACGACCCGCGTTGAAGACCCGGATTATAGACCGTCGGTTTCTGGTGGTTGGTTCGTGCTGGTGGTGGTGTGCTTTGTTGGTATATATAAAATATGTGTATGTCTCTGTTTTGCTTTTTTTGTTGTGTGTTTTAGGGGAGAGGTGAGGGAGTTGAAGTTCTTTTGATTTTGATTAAATTTCTTGTAGTTGATTTTTAAGGTTAGAATTTAACTAGCTTTGGCTGGCTGGAAGAAGAAGAATAAGGGGTTTGTGCAAATTTGTGAATTTGAAGCAATGTATTCAAATTAGGGTTTTTTAGGGTTCAAATTGTTTTAGATTTGGGGGGTTTTGTTGGAGGAGGAGGAGAGAGAATGAAGAAGAAGAAGAAGAAGAAGAAGAAGAAGAATTAGGGTTTTAGTTGAAGGTTTTGCTGTTGTAATTGGAATGGCTTTCCCAGAAGTTTAATTCTATGAAAATATTTATTCCAATTCTCGTTCCATTTGTCAATAATCCCAATTGATCTTAATTTGTGTTTCATATCCCATTATGACGTTTTAAGGCTTAGAATTGGGTTGAGCTGGGTTTGCATTGCATTCCTGCTAGGGTTGTTGATGGGTCATTTTACAAATTCTCTCGACTTATGCATAACATTTTTCTTGGCAATGGTATTCTCCTGGACTTGAACAGGGGTTCGACTTCTCCCCCTTCGCAGCAACTTTCTGTTTTTGCTGCACTTTCCAACTGTTGGATGGCCAATACCACTCCCATCTGGGGAGCAGCACACTACACTAAACTGGAAACTGAATCAGTTTTCTGATGCTTGGTGTGTGTGGCAACTGTAGTTCATTCAGTGTGGGAGCTGAATAATTTTCGTGACACTAAGATTGTTCTTTTTATTGTTTTGCTATACTCTTCTGATAACAAATTTCTTGATTTTAACATGCAGGTTTGTTGCCTGTAAAAAGAAAAAAGCATGTTGGATGAAGTTGGGTCAATTATGCAAGCAAATTTGAAGCAGTTATCTCCTACAACATGGGGTTAGATGGTTTTTGTTAATGTTTGTTAATATATATTGAAGTCACAGTTCATGTTGAAGTACTGGTTTTCATGGTGTGCTGTTCAATTAGATTTTCGGAACCGATGCTTCCATCTGACAATAAAATCAAAGTGATCCATCATATTGAAACCCTAATGCTGTGTGATGTAGCAAGGCACAAGTGTTGATACTTGCAATTTGCTTGTTTCAAATTTCACCAGATTTCAGCTGTTGAGTTTAACTGCAAAATAGAAAATACTATTACTTATCTTTACTGGGGGAGCAAGGCTTGTCGTTTGGAATCAAAACATAACTTCGATCTGCAGAGAAATGTTTAGTTGAGACGAGGATTTTCCTTAAAGTTGGGTCTGCTAAGTTGCAACAGGTTCTTCAACTGCACCCCCCATATTCTGGAATCAAAATTTTTCCAAGTTGAAGAACAGTCGGAAGTAACAACAATCTCTAGAGCCACCAAACATCACGCTTCGCTACCCTAAAAGAGAACCAAGAAATTTTAAAAGCAAACAATCAAATTGGTCATGCAAATTTAGTATTGAAGAGGGCGGAAGCCACAGCAATGGCTTATTTCAAAAACCATGGCATTTAATAAAATGGTTTTAAGCTTACCAAATGAGAAATCATCTGTAGAACATCAAGAGTATGAAAATATATACATTTGATGGCAAATGGCAAACTCTTGTTATGCAGATCCAATTGTGTGATGAACATTGGACTGAGGATTCTATATGGCATTGACTTGAAAAGTCTTTCGAAGTACGAAATCTTCAACCCCTTTTCCCATGCAATGTCAGCTTGAACCCAATGTGAACGGTTTCCTCAGTCACCGGTAACTATAACAGTAGTATTCTTGTCTGCAAAATTAGTCAGGGCCACCACTGTTTCTGGCTCGATAGCAGACTTAGCATCCACCAGAAAAATATGACTGAAATGTTCTGCATTTAGGCCTTTGTCATGTAGCTGAAAGTTACTCGTGAAAGTCGAGAAAATCACCCTGAATTTTTTAAGCTCCTCAGTTGGAGGACAAGAGAAATAAGGCTCTTTGTAAAGGCATGATGGGAGGATGTCTTCAGGTACCCCATCTATCTCACGGAATGCAGCATTGGCTCGAAACATATCTGACTCTGGAATCACTTTCAACAAGCTCCTCATGTCATGAGCACATCCCAACAGTGGTTATTATGAGCACATATAAGAATCCTATTTTCTGTTGACATTTGACATAACTGGTGCACTGCTTCACAAACCACCACTCCAGTTTTGGATGGCCTAAAAGCGTTTCTTTCAACACATAGCCGGCCAGCCACCAAGTAAGGTGGTGAGCCCTGAATGCTTAAAATATGGCGAACTGCAGATAATTGATCAGCATCAAGTTTATGACAGGCAGAGAGCAGCGCTCGTGCAGTTGGAATGCTTGTACGGGAAACACAATCGGGAAAGAGGAAGTTCTGAAACAAAGCATCTGATGCATATTGAACTGCTTGATGAGCTCGTTTCAAATAGATTCTATTGAATGAGAACAACTTACAAGACTGCTCCAGACAACGAGATATATAAAGCCCTGTACAACATGTAAGATCGTTATAATAATGTTGATAATTTTAACATGTAAGCGTATGTTGGTGGATGTTGAGAGTTTACCTGAAACCGCACAACATTTTTACCCGATGGTCGTACATAGACTAAGTCTCTCGATAAAAGGAATGGGCGATTCTCAGGAAAAGAATCCATCTCAAAAGCTACAAAGGTTTTCTCTTCCTTATCTGGTTTTTTGTGAATTGCTGCTTCATGCAACGCCAATGTCACATTCTCCAAATCGAAATGAGGCCATTTCTGATTCAAAATAACAACATAAGTTTTTCTTCAAAGCCAGCATGCAGGATTGAGGAGATAAAATTGTTCTATCTATCACAACATTCTATAATCCATCATTCATACCACCACTCATAGGGGAAAAAGCTCTTAAGCACAAAGCTGATTGCAACTGAAACTATGCCTGTATTTTGTTTAAACAGATTCTAAAATATTCTGTCCTCAATTTTGATTTGCAACAATTGGATATCTAACAGGTGCAAGTTATCTAAACCTCAAATCTACCACATTTAATATATGCAAAATTTCCAAATAATATTTTGTCTTTTTGGATAGTTGTTTTGATATTGTGTCATCAATATTCAGTTGCAATAGTTTCCAAGTTGCTCGGGTCCTTGTCTCCATGTGGAAAAGAAACGTTTACAAGAATCTTTTGGACACCTCTACTTCTATTCTGATTAAACAGAATATCAAGCTAAAGCTAAAGCTATTAGGAAATTAGCTAACAATGGATATCGAGCTAACACCCTCCTCCCTCTTGTGCAGCCAGAGGGAAACATAAAAGTGCAGCCCCACCCTGCAAACTATTAAAGAAGTAGAAATGAGGGATTGGAGTGTTTCAGATTCACGACCACCTGCAATCAGAGCTCGGATACCATATTATTACAAATAATAATAATAAAACTCATGACTAATTTGAGGACCTTGACCTTAACCTTGACTTTGGGTTAGGGGTTATCATTATGCCCGCGAGCCCATGGGACAATGGGGGCCGGCTGGCCTATTGAGAAAAAGCCCAATCTGTCATATAGTGGGCCGGGTTTGGGCTTCGGTGTCCAAAGCCCGACACGGCCCATAAGCCCGACTCATTTGAGCTCGAGAAAGCCCAATCGGGCCCGCCCATAAAAGCCCGGCCCACAGGCTCACATACATATAAATAAATAAATATTAAAAAAATCCAAGTTAAATGAAAGATGGAGAAAATCATTATCTATTATCATTTTAAGAACTAAAAAAATGAAGTATGGGATAAAATATGATTTTATTAATATGGCAATTGTGTAACTATATCTTTATATTTATGGAAAAAAAAAGAACTATGAAGTTATGAACAAAGAAAAAAAATGGAGACATAAACATATAGACAAATGTAAATAGAGAACTATGATAAATCAATAAAAAAGGAAACATAGAAACACACCAAAACATAGAAAATAAATAAATAAATAAAGAATTGACAAAAAAGAAAATTTTAAAAAAAAAGACAAAAGAAAATAGGCCCATTTAGGCCTAGTCCGTTGAGCTTAACCCGATGGGCTTTTTTAAGCCCGACCCATAGGCTAGGCTTGAGTTTTGAATTTGTCAAAAAAAAAAAACCCGACCCCGCCCAACTAGTTATTTTTTCTCTCATCTTTGAAGTCCGGTTCAAGTCCATTAAATTTGGACCGAGCTAGCGCATACCGGCCCATTGACGAGGCCTACTTTGGGTAGTTCAGTAACATATTCATCTGCTGCTCAAGGCCACACCACTCCCCAGAAAATAATAATTAATTATGAGAGGACATCTTCTGCTCAAGTCGGATCGGAAGGCCAACTTGTGTATAATTTGTTGTTGGTCTGATATGAACCAGTATCAATTAATGGATGCCAGGAAAGCCCATGAAGCCTCCTCTTCATCCTCGTCAAAACGTTGTATGTACCAAGTGTTCTTGAGCTTCAGAGGTGAAGACACACGCAAGGGCTTCACAGGCCACCTCCACGCCGCATTATCTGATGACGGAATCCGCGCCTTTCTTGACGACAACGAGCTAGAAAGAGCGGAATTTATAAAAACCCAACTGGAGCAGGCAATCGATGGGTCCATGATCTCCATAATTGTCTTCTCCAAGAGGTATGCCGAGTCCAGTTGGTGTCTTGATGAGCTGGTGAAGGTCATGGAGTGTAGAGAAAGATTGAGGCAAAAGGTTATTCCATTATTCTATAATGTTGAGGCTTCAGATGTCCGGAAACACACTGGTAGTTTTGCACAAGCATTTGAGAAACATGAAGCGGGCATCTGTGAAGGTAAACATGAGAGAGAAAAGGTACAGCGGTGGAGAAATGCTCTCATTCAAGCTGCAGATTTGTGTGGGGAAGATCTTAAAAATGCTGATGGGTAATTACTAATTTCTTGTTCCTTGGATTATCATCTCCTTACTTGACAACCATATGTTTTCTGTCCTTTTTGTTTTTGTTTTTCCAACTATGTTTTAACCATGCATTCTTTCTTATTTGATAATGTTAAATCCCAATCTTAATTGTTAATTATATCTTAGTATAAAAGAAGAAAATAATTTGGTCATTCTAAATTATTAAGTTAGGGATTCAATTTAACCTTGTAGTTTGTTCCACATCGAATGATTCGTAGTTCTGCTTCTGTGCTTAATTGCCAGGCATGAAGCAAAGTTTATCAACAAAATTCTTGGGGTGGTTAATAAACAGTTGTACAGCAAATACCAATTAGACATTGAACACGTTGTTGGAATTACTTCTCGGCTGAACGATGTTGTTCGCATGATTGATATTGAAAATTCAGGTTCTAAGGATGTTGTTCGCATGATTGGTATCTTGGGGATGGGTGGCATTGGAAAAACAACGCTTGCCAAAACCATTTATAACAAATTTGAACGTATCTTTGAGGGTAGGAGTTTCCTTGCAAACGTGAGGGAAGTAATTGCACACCAACCCATTAATGGTCTGGTTGGTTTGCAAGAACAACTTCTAAATGATATCTTGAAAAACGGGGGCATAAAGGTTGGCTCTGTTGATGTAGGGATCACTGTGATAAAAGAAAGACTTTGCTGTAAAACATTACTTGTCATAATTGATGATGCAGATGATCTACAGCAACTAAAAGCGATAGCTGGAGCTCATGACTGGTTTGGTCCTGGAAGTAGAATTCTTATAACAACAAGAAATAAACATTTGCTAGAGCAAGTTGGAGTGGATAGCACATATGTGGCTCAAGAAATGGATGAGAAAGAAGCTCTAGAGCTCTTTAGTTGGCATGCCCTCAAAAGAGGTTATCCTGATCAAGAATACCTTGACCTCTCAAGACGTGTAATTCGTTACTGTCAAGGCTTGCCACTAGCACTTCGAGTTGTAGGGTCTTTTTTGATTAAAAGAACCGCATTAGAATGGGAAAGCCAATTGGAGAGATTGGAAAGAAGTCCTCATGAAGCAATTACAAAAATACTGAGAATAAGCTTTGACGGGCTACCTGACCGTACAGACAGAAATATATTCCTTGATATATCTTGTTTCTTTATTGGAATGAACAGGGACTATGTCACACAAATATTAGATGGATGTGGCTTTTCTGCAACGCTAGGAATCCCTATCCTCATTGAACGGTGCCTTGTAACTGTTAGTGAGCAAAACAAGCTGATGATGCATGATTTGCTTCGAGACATGGGAAGAGAGATTGTTCGTGAAAATGCCTGCGGTCACCCTGAAAAATTTAGTAGATTGAGAAGACGTGAAGACGTAACAGATGTATTGAGAGACAAATCTGTAAGTACTTTTCAAGTAAAGTTTTAGAATGCATCATGCAAGAGAAGCATATGTATCCCGTGTCTATAATAAATTAAAATGTCCTTTTCCATTTCTTTAATTTTTTTTATAGTACAAGCGCTAAATCAAAGTAAAAGAGGGGGTTCTCACACATCCACACTACCAAAGTGCCATACGAATTTGAACCTGAGACCTTAGTCTGCAAGTTTAGACCATTTTTCACTTCGCTAGACTCCATTTCCATTTCTTATATTATATCCACTAAGATCAAAGCTCAATTAGGCATAACCAAAAAAATATATGTGCTTTGATTGCAAACACAAACTATAGGGCGTAACTTGCTCCAATACTATTAATTATACTTTTTGGTTAATACATACACGGACTTTCATGTTTGGAAATCATTTTTCTAACTCGGTATCTTTTGTTAACAGGGAACTGACGAAATTGAAGGAGTTGCTCTTTATATCCCATGGTCTGACAAGGCTGGATTCAGTGCAGAAGCATTTACCAACATGAAAAAACTGAGGTTACTCCAACTCAGCAACGTAGAGCTCACTGGAGAGTACAAAGATTTTCCCAAAAAGTTAATATGGTTGTGCTGGAATGGATTCCCTTTAGAGTCCATGCCAGATGACTTTCCTATGCAACCAAAACTGGTTGCTTTAGACCTGCAGTATGGCAAACTCAAAATAGTTTGGAAGGATTGCAAGGTATAATAATCTCAACCTAGTTGTTGTTGGGTCTTTCCTTCTGGTTCTATACATATATTATACTTCACCTTCTCTTCATTTTGGTTTAATTTCTGTATCTGAGACCTTCCTTTTGGATTTAATTTCCATTCTAATTTTGTTTTTGTGTAACAGTTGCATCAGAATTTGAAAATCCTTAATCTCAATTGTTCCTATAGGCTAACAAAATCACCAGACTTTTCAAAACTGCCAAATCTCGAGGAATTGATATTGCAATTTTGTACTAGTTTGTCTGAGGTTCACTCATCCATCGGGGATCTTGGAAGACTTTCTTTGGTAAATCTTCAACACTGCAAAATGCTTAAGGATCTCCCACTGAATTTCTATAAATCGAAGTCTATTGAAACTCTTATACTTAATAATTGTCGAAGTTTTGAAAAGTTGGCTGAGGGCTTAGGGGACATGGTATCATTGACAATTTTGGAAGCAAACAGGACAGCCATAAGACAAATACCATCTTCCATATTAAAATTGAAGAAACTGAAAGTTTTATCTTTATGTGATGTGGAAGGGTCGCCATCAACAAATCTTTTGCCTCCTTCATTGCAAAGTTTAAGCTCTGTAAGATACTTAGCTCTTGCGTGCTGCAGTTTAACTGATGATGCATTCCCCAAGGATCTCGGTAGCTTAATTTCCTTAGTATATTTAAATCTTAACGGCAATGACTTTTGCAGCCTACCAAGCCTCAGTTGTCTTTCACAGCTTCAAGATTTGTCTTTACATAAGTGCAGAAATCTTTGTGCAATCCCAGATTTACCAACAAATTTGAAAGTCTTAAAAGCATATGGCTGCACTGCATTGGAAAAAATGCCAGAGTTTTCAGAAATGTCAAATATAAGAGAATTGTATCTAAGAAATTCGGGCAAACTCATTGAGATTCCTGGCCTGGATAAGTCATTAAACTCCATGACAAGGATTCATATGGAAAACTGCAGTAAACTCACTGCCGATTTTAGGAAGAACATCCTACAGGTCAGGCCTCCTCTCTCTCAAACACACACATACGTGTTTCTCTTTCTATCACATACAACGCACATGTACACATGCATGCATAAGAATGTATTTCTTATAGAAATTTGGCTCTACATGGTATAGGGATGGACTTCTTGCGGATATGGTGGCATTTTTCTGAGTGGAAATGATATTCCTGATTGGTTCGACTTTGTCCATGATGATGATATTGTTTATTTCACTATGCCTCAAAGTGTTGGTCGTAATTTTATCCTTCGTTCTCTCTTCAGGCTTATACGGTTGTCGTATTAGCATTAAAAACATGACCGAGGGTACTGAGCTTGACGCCAGGATCATACCCGACTGTCAAAGTTATGGTACTGGTTTTTATCTTTGGCAGGGACAGTTATCAAATGACGAGCTCAAATTGCAAGATGGTGATAAAGTCTTGATTGAAATAATAGCAGACTATAATTTGGTGAAGAAAACAGGTGTTAGTCTGGTATGGGACAAATTTATGAACGAAAATATGATTGAATACCATCTTTGTGCGTATGAACGACACCCATCTCAAAATCAGGTCAATGATGATGACATCATTCATGTCGAAGATGATAATCACATAACAAAATCACCAGACTTTTCAAAATTCCCAAATCTCGAGAAGTTGATATTGAAAGGTTGTAAGGAGTTGATTAAGGTTCACTCATACATCGGGGATCTTGGAAGACTTTCTTTGGTAGATCTTGAAGGCTGCAGAATGCTAAAGGATCTCCCACTGAATTTCTATAAATCCAAGTCTATTGAAACTCTACTACTTAATGGTTGTTCAAGTTTTGAAGACTTGGCTGATGGCTTAGGGGACATGGTATCATTGACGATTTTGGAAGCAGATGACACAGCCGTCAGACAAATACCATCTTCCATAGTAAAATTGAAGAAGTTGAGAATTTTATCTTTATCTGGTGAGAATTTTGAAATTCCATCTTTTATATCTATCTGGTGAGAATTTTGAAATTCCATCTATAATAGAGTTCTGTCTTGCAGGCTGCTGGCGGTTAACTGAGGATGCAATCCCTAAGGATCTATGTAGCCTAATTTCCTTAGAACATCTGCTTCTTGGACGCAATTTCTTTTGTAGCCTACCAAGTCTCACTGGTCTTTCAAAGCTCAAGGTCTTGTGTGTAAATGCATGCGAATTTCTTCGTGCAATCCCAGATTTACCAGCCAATTTGTATGTTCTGAAAGCAAATGTCTGCCCAAATTTGGAAACAATTCCAGATTTTTCAAAAATGTCGAATATGAAAGAATTGCATCTAAGTGATTCGTTCAAACTCACTGAGGTTCCAAGCTTGGATAAGTCATTAAACTCCATGACAAGGATTCATATGGAAGGCTGCACCAATCTGACTGCCGATTTTAGGAACAACATCCTACAGGTCTCTCTCTCTCTCTCTCTCTCTCACACGCACACACACACACACACAAACACAAACACAGAGGAACAGCTGCAACTGCCATGTGATGGTATATGCATGCATTTATAAGAATGTATTGCTTCTGGTGTGCAGAGATGGACTTCTTGTGGATTTGGTGGAATTTTTTTGAATGGAATTTATGATATTCCGGAGTGGTTCAAATTCGTCAATGATGTGGACAATATCGTCTTCTTTGAAGTTCCTCAAAGAATCATGGGTCGGGATTTAAAGGGGTTGACTATATGCTTCTGTTTGCCCGTTTCGGTGTTCACTCCTGTGATGGAAGGGCAAAGTTCCCCACTGCCTTGAGAACCATAAACTGGTTGACAAGTCAGCTTTCTTTGGTGTGCGAGCGTGCCACTGCTAGCAATACAAATTCTAGCAGACTTAGTTTGGAGTAGATAACTTGCGCCCCAAGTTACTGATTTCTGCAAACAAACGATTGTGAATTTGGGTGAGGAATATCTCCCAAGTAAGTTCTTTTCTTGCCTCAGACGGGTGAGGACTTTAACAATTTATCTCAGTATAAACAGGCTGCTCTGGCCAAAATGGTTGATGGAATTTAAACTGTTTCAGGCAGAACTGATGGAATTTAAACTGTTTTTAGGCAGAACTGATGGAATTTAAACTGTTTTTAGGCAGAACTGATGGAATTTAAACTGTTTTTAGGCAGAACTGATGGAATTTAAACTGTTTTTAGGCAGAACTGATGGAATTTAAACTGTTTTTAGGCAGAACTGATGGAATTTAAACTGTTTTTAGGCAGAACTGATGGAATTTAAACTGTTTTTAGGCAGAACTGATGGAATTTAAACTGTTTTTAGGCAGAACTGATGGAATTTAAACTGTTTTTAGGCAGAACTGATGGAATTTAAACTGTTTTTAGGCAGAACTGATGGAATTTAAACTGTTTTTAGGCAGAACTGATGGAATTTAAACTGTTTTTAGGCAGAACTGATGGAATTTAAACTGTTTTTAGGCAGAACTGATGGAATTTAAACTGTTTTTAGGCAGAACTGATGGAATTTAAACTGTTTTTAGGCAGAACTGATGGAATTTAAACTGTTTTTAGGCAGAACTGATGGAATTTAAACTGTTTTTAGGCAGAACTGATGGAATTTAAACTGTTTTTAGGCAGAACTGATGGAATTTAAACTGTTTTTAGGCAGAACTGATGGAATTTAAACTGTTTTTAGGCAGAACTGATGGAATTTAAACTGTTTTTAGGCAGAACTGATGGAATTTAAACTGTTTTTAGGCAGAACTGATGGAATTTAAACTGTTTTTAGGCAGAACTGATGGAATTTAAACTGTTTTTAGGCAGAACTGATGGAATTTAAACTGTTTTTAGGCAGAACTGATGGAATTTAAACTGTTTTTAGGCAGAACTGATGGAATTTAAACTGTTTTTAGGCAGAACTGATGGAATTTAAACTGTTTTTAGGCAGAACTGATGGAATTTAAACTGTTTTTAGGCAGAACTGATGGAATTTAAACTGTTTTTAGGCAGAACTGATGGAATTTAAACTGTTTTTAGGCAGAACTGATGGAATTTAAACTGTTTTTAGGCAGAACTGATGGAATTTAAACTGTTTTTAGGCAGAACTGATGGAATTTAAACTGTTTTTAGGCAGAACTGATGGAATTTAAACTGTTTTTAGGCAGAACTGATGGAATTTAAACTGTTTTTAGGCAGAACTGATGGAATTTAAACTGTTTTTAGGCAGAACTGATGGAATTTAAACTGTTTTTAGGCAGAACTGATGGAATTTAAACTGTTTTTAGGCAGAACTGATGGAATTTAAACTGTTTTTAGGCAGAACTGATGGAATTTAAACTGTTTTTAGGCAGAACTGATGGAATTTAAACTGTTTTTAGGCAGAACTGATGGAATTTAAACTGTTTTTAGGCAGAACTGATGGAATTTAAACTGTTTTTAGGCAGAACTGATGGAATTTAAACTGTTTTTAGGCAGAACTGATGGAATTTAAACTGTTTTTAGGCAGAACTGATGGAATTTAAACTGTTTTTAGGCAGAACTGATGGAATTTAAACTGTTTTTAGGCAGAACTGATGGAATTTAAACTGTTTTTAGGCAGAACTGATGGAATTTAAACTGTTTTTAGGCAGAACTGATGGAATTTAAACTGTTTTTAGGCAGAACTGATGGAATTTAAACTGTTTTTAGGCAGAACTGATGGAATTTAAACTGTTTTTAGGCAGAACTGATGGAATTTAAACTGTTTTTAGGCAGAACTGATGGAATTTAAACTGTTTTTAGGCAGAACTGATGGAATTTAAACTGTTTTTAGGCAGAACTGATGGAATTTAAACTGTTTTTAGGCAGAACTGATGGAATTTAAACTGTTTTTAGGCAGAACTGATGGAATTTAAACTGTTTTTAGGCAGAACTGATGGAATTTAAACTGTTTTTAGGCAGAACTGATGGAATTTAAACTGTTTTTAGGCAGAACTGATGGAATTTAAACTGTTTTTAGGCAGAACTGATGGAATTTAAACTGTTTTTAGGCAGAACTGATGGAATTTAAACTGTTTTTAGGCAGAACTGATGGAATTTAAACTGTTTTTAGGCAGAACTGATGGAATTTAAACTGTTTTTAGGCAGAACTGATGGAATTTAAACTGTTTTTAGGCAGAACTGATGGAATTTAAACTGTTTTTAGGCAGAACTGATGGAATTTAAACTGTTTTTAGGCAGAACTGATGGAATTTAAACTGTTTTTAGGCAGAACTGATGGAATTTAAACTGTTTTTAGGCAGAACTGATGGAATTTAAACTGTTTTTAGGCAGAACTGATGGAATTTAAACTGTTTTTAGGCAGAACTGATGGAATTTAAACTGTTTTTAGGCAGAACTGATGGAATTTAAACTGTTTTTAGGCAGAACTGATGGAATTTAAACTGTTTTTAGGCAGAACTGATGGAATTTAAACTGTTTTTAGGCAGAACTGATGGAATTTAAACTGTTTTTAGGCAGAACTGATGGAATTTAAACTGTTTTTAGGCAGAACTGATGGAATTTAAACTGTTTTTAGGCAGAACTGATGGAATTTAAACTGTTTTTAGGCAGAACTGATGGAATTTAAACTGTTTTTAGGCAGAACTGATGGAATTTAAACTGTTTTTAGGCAGAACTGATGGAATTTAAACTGTTTTTAGGCAGAACTGATGGAATTTAAACTGTTTTTAGGCAGAACTGATGGAATTTAAACTGTTTTTAGGCAGAACTGATGGAATTTAAACTGTTTTTAGGCAGAACTGATGGAATTTAAACTGTTTTTAGGCAGAACTGATGGAATTTAAACTGTTTTTAGGCAGAACTGATGGAATTTAAACTGTTTTTAGGCAGAACTGATGGAATTTAAACTGTTTTTAGGCAGAACTGATGGAATTTAAACTGTTTTTAGGCAGAACTGATGGAATTTAAACTGTTTTTAGGCAGAACTGATGGAATTTAAACTGTTTTTAGGCAGAACTGATGGAATTTAAACTGTTTTTAGGCAGAACTGATGGAATTTAAACTGTTTTTAGGCAGAACTGATGGAATTTAAACTGTTTTTAGGCAGAACTGATGGAATTTAAACTGTTTTTAGGCAGAACTGATGGAATTTAAACTGTTTTTAGGCAGAACTGATGGAATTTAAACTGTTTTTAGGCAGAACTGATGGAATTTAAACTGTTTTTAGGCAGAACTGATGGAATTTAAACTGTTTTTAGGCAGAACTGATGGAATTTAAACTGTTTTTAGGCAGAACTGATGGAATTTAAACTGTTTTTAGGCAGAACTGATGGAATTTAAACTGTTTTTAGGCAGAACTGATGGAATTTAAACTGTTTTTAGGCAGAACTGATGGAATTTAAACTGTTTTTAGGCAGAACTGATGGAATTTAAACTGTTTTTAGGCAGAACTGATGGAATTTAAACTGTTTTTAGGCAGAACTGATGGAATTTAAACTGTTTTTAGGCAGAACTGATGGAATTTAAACTGTTTTTAGGCAGAACTGATGGAATTTAAACTGTTTTTAGGCAGAACTGATGGAATTTAAACTGTTTTTAGGCAGAACTGATGGAATTTAAACTGTTTTTAGGCAGAACTGATGGAATTTAAACTGTTTTTAGGCAGAACTGATGGAATTTAAACTGTTTTTAGGCAGAACTGATGGAATTTAAACTGTTTTTAGGCAGAACTGATGGAATTTAAACTGTTTTTAGGCAGAACTGATGGAATTTAAACTGTTTTTAGGCAGAACTGATGGAATTTAAACTGTTTTTAGGCAGAACTGATGGAATTTAAACTGTTTTTAGGCAGAACTGATGGAATTTAAACTGTTTTTAGGCAGAACTGATGGAATTTAAACTGTTTTTAGGCAGAACTGATGGAATTTAAACTGTTTTTAGGCAGAACTGATGGAATTTAAACTGTTTTTAGGCAGAACTGATGGAATTTAAACTGTTTTTAGGCAGAACTGATGGAATTTAAACTGTTTTTAGGCAGAACTGATGGAATTTAAACTGTTTTTAGGCAGAACTGATGGAATTTAAACTGTTTTTAGGCAGAACTGATGGAATTTAAACTGTTTTTAGGCAGAACTGATGGAATTTAAACTGTTTTTAGGCAGAACTGATGGAATTTAAACTGTTTTTAGGCAGAACTGATGGAATTTAAACTGTTTTTAGGCAGAACTGATGGAATTTAAACTGTTTTTAGGCAGAACTGATGGAATTTAAACTGTTTTTAGGCAGAACTGATGGAATTTAAACTGTTTTTAGGCAGAACTGATGGAATTTAAACTGTTTTTAGGCAGAACTGATGGAATTTAAACTGTTTTTAGGCAGAACTGATGGAATTTAAACTGTTTTTAGGCAGAACTGATGGAATTTAAACTGTTTTTAGGCAGAACTGATGGAATTTAAACTGTTTTTAGGCAGAACTGATGGAATTTAAACTGTTTTTAGGCAGAACTGATGGAATTTAAACTGTTTTTAGGCAGAACTGATGGAATTTAAACTGTTTTTAGGCAGAACTGATGGAATTTAAACTGTTTTTAGGCAGAACTGATGGAATTTAAACTGTTTTTAGGCAGAACTGATGGAATTTAAACTGTTTTTAGGCAGAACTGATGGAATTTAAACTGTTTTTAGGCAGAACTGATGGAATTTAAACTGTTTTTAGGCAGAACTGATGGAATTTAAACTGTTTTTAGGCAGAACTGATGGAATTTAAACTGTTTTTAGGCAGAACTGATGGAATTTAAACTGTTTTTAGGCAGAACTGATGGAATTTAAACTGTTTTTAGGCAGAACTGATGGAATTTAAACTGTTTTTAGGCAGAACTGATGGAATTTAAACTGTTTTTAGGCAGAACTGATGGAATTTAAACTGTTTTTAGGCAGAACTGATGGAATTTAAACTGTTTTTAGGCAGAACTGATGGAATTTAAACTGTTTTTAGGCAGAACTGATGGAATTTAAACTGTTTTTAGGCAGAACTGATGGAATTTAAACTGTTTTTAGGCAGAACTGATGGAATTTAAACTGTTTTTAGGCAGAACTGATGGAATTTAAACTGTTTTTAGGCAGAACTGATGGAATTTAAACTGTTTTTAGGCAGAACTGATGGAATTTAAACTGTTTTTAGGCAGAACTGATGGAATTTAAACTGTTTTTAGGCAGAACTGATGGAATTTAAACTGTTTTTAGGCAGAACTGATGGAATTTAAACTGTTTTTAGGCAGAACTGATGGAATTTAAACTGTTTTTAGGCAGAACTGATGGAATTTAAACTGTTTTTAGGCAGAACTGATGGAATTTAAACTGTTTTTAGGCAGAACTGATGGAATTTAAACTGTTTTTAGGCAGAACTGATGGAATTTAAACTGTTTTTAGGCAGAACTGATGGAATTTAAACTGTTTTTAGGCAGAACTGATGGAATTTAAACTGTTTTTAGGCAGAACTGATGGAATTTAAACTGTTTTTAGGCAGAACTGATGGAATTTAAACTGTTTTTAGGCAGAACTGATGGAATTTAAACTGTTTTTAGGCAGAACTGATGGAATTTAAACTGTTTTTAGGCAGAACTGATGGAATTTAAACTGTTTTTAGGCAGAACTGATGGAATTTAAACTGTTTTTAGGCAGAACTGATGGAATTTAAACTGTTTTTAGGCAGAACTGATGGAATTTAAACTGTTTTTAGGCAGAACTGATGGAATTTAAACTGTTTTTAGGCAGAACTGATGGAATTTAAACTGTTTTTAGGCAGAACTGATGGAATTTAAACTGTTTTTAGGCAGAACTGATGGAATTTAAACTGTTTTTAGGCAGAACTGATGGAATTTAAACTGTTTTTAGGCAGAACTGATGGAATTTAAACTGTTTTTAGGCAGAACTGATGGAATTTAAACTGTTTTTAGGCAGAACTGATGGAATTTAAACTGTTTTTAGGCAGAACTGATGGAATTTAAACTGTTTTTAGGCAGAACTGATGGAATTTAAACTGTTTTTAGGCAGAACTGATGGAATTTAAACTGTTTTTAGGCAGAACTGATGGAATTTAAACTGTTTTTAGGCAGAACTGATGGAATTTAAACTGTTTTTAGGCAGAACTGATGGAATTTAAACTGTTTTTAGGCAGAACTGATGGAATTTAAACTGTTTTTAGGCAGAACTGATGGAATTTAAACTGTTTTTAGGCAGAACTGATGGAATTTAAACTGTTTTTAGGCAGAACTGATGGAATTTAAACTGTTTTTAGGCAGAACTGATGGAATTTAAACTGTTTTTAGGCAGAACTGATGGAATTTAAACTGTTTTTAGGCAGAACTGATGGAATTTAAACTGTTTTTAGGCAGAACTGATGGAATTTAAACTGTTTTTAGGCAGAACTGATGGAATTTAAACTGTTTTTAGTCATTTATTCTTCAGACAACCCAGTACTTGATAGCATTTGCATTATCGTTAGAAATCTTACCAAACAAACTACTTTGCACACCAAGATAGCATTTGCGAGATACGGAAGACCAGAACCCTATTTGTTTTGGTGGAGACGATTGTCAAACGACGAACCTGAAGACGTTTATCTTTGGCAGGGACAATTTTCAAACGACGTGCTCCATTTGCAAGGCGGGGACCAAGTCTCCATTATTGTAAGGCCTGATGATGTTGATTTAGTGAGAGTGAATAAGACAGGGGTTCATCAAACTAGTGTTATACATGAACAATTAGCAGTGGAACCATATCTGGATTTTTTTGGGGAAACTGATAATGAGGCAGGACGGAGCCATGACGCCTTTGTTTGGACTAATCAATCGAGTGCTGTGGGTGAACAATTAGCATTGGAGTTTATGACTCCATTTCAAGAAATTGTACCATACTGAGCAAGCCATCAATCTTGATGGAGGAAGAAGAAGCAGAGAGAAATTGCAATCTTGATTTATGTATTTCTTAATCTTTTAAGCTACAGTACTATTACACTCTATACATCTGTCTAACTCACTACTAACAACTCACGTGCCCTGCACACCTAACTCACCCTTGAATTAGACCAATACCCCAATGCCGGTTAAAACAACAGCACTTGCCAAAACAACAGTGTGGAGAGACGTCCATCCCGTTTTCTGGGCTGTGGTTGGGTAATATGATCCTGTCAATTACAAAGTTACAAATTTCAATAGGAAATCTACTTCAATGATTTGGTGATGAGATTACTCAAATGAGAGAGCCACGTGGAGACCACCACCTGTCCCAAAGCAAGTCACATTCTGGTCGATATCTACAGTAGCAGACACGTGTCAGCATAAGCAGCAACATACGCTTCACACCTTATTCACACCTGAAACATTTTTCATTTTAGAGAAAACTAGAAAGGGCGCCCGCGCGATGTTGCGGGTTTTGAAATTACGTCAAATGTGTATAAAGCCGTAAATATATGTAGGAAACATGGCTTTGTTTATATCTATATTTAGATCTAAATAGTGGCATCATGCTTAGTTTAGTACGTTTAAGTTACAAAAAATAAATTAATAAGATAGATAAATTAATAAGATGATATTTGGTGCTGCTTGTTATGTTAAAATATTAGCCCTATATATATATATATATATATTGAGATCTAAACAGTATCATCACGCTTATTTTAACCTTTATATATATATATATATATTGAGATCTAAACAGTGTCATCATGCTTCGTTTGGCAACCTTAAGGTGTAAAAAATAAACTAACATGTTTTATATGCTGCTTGTTATGTTAAAATATTATGCATATTTTAATATATCAAGTAGCTATTAAAACATCAAAATATGAGCAGACTTAAGCTGCGTATTATTCAAAAAGACTTGTACATACATTTATCTATATTTTAATGGGTAGTGGACATGGATTTTTCTTTTTTGATGTTTCTTGCAAGGGTTGCTGCATTTGTTGTGTAGCTGGTTGATGTTCCTTCTTCTCCATTGGTATAAACTGGGTAAACGGTAAGTGTCAGTGTCGACAAATAAGAAAATTTGAGCAAAGACAATGGCTGTTGTTATAGAATTAAGGCCAACAACAGAAGCTGCACAAACCACAATTTAAATGATCTAAAAATACCTAATAACCTATAAACAGAAAGAAGATGATCTAGTGACCTAATGAGAAAATTTGTTACAGAAGTAAGATAATCTAATGGAGAAGTAAGCTACTGAAGTAGCAACGATGTATAAACGGCTATATGTTATGGAAGTAGAATAAAGGTAGAGATAAAATGCTACAGGTTATAGTTTTGTTAATTACATTTAAAACATTTAATAACAATGTTTCAAATTTGAAAAATGTAATTGAAAGTCAGTTCATATGGGAGCTCCAAAAAAAATACGAAAAAAGCAAATTTTAATAATTAATAAAAAAAAGAGTAAATAAATTTATAAATGTATTAAAGTTATCATATATCCATACCACTTAATACAGAGAAATTGAGTGGGGAAATAAGCTGTGAACAATGAAATATTACGTAATGTATACGTTAATGAGATGAATGAATTGAAAAGGAAAGAGCATAAACTTTGATGTTGAAGTAGGAGAGGCAATTTTGGAACTGCCCTGGGCATTTTTCTTCTTCAAACCGATCGTTGGTAAATTGTCAAAATCTGACACATTTTCTTCTCTGGTTTTATGTTTATCATCGGCAAGACAAACACTTTCATAAGAGATTTCTATACTATTTGAAATGGCAAAACTATGAGCTTCTTGCATCATCTGATTTCGTTTGCTATCTCTAGTCCTTTTACGCATTATGCACAAAAATTTAAAACCCCAAGCAACAGATTGATAACTGGAAAGGAGAAAAAAACATGCATTTATAAAATTTTAAATTATCAATCACACTTAAACTGTAATTAAGCAAAGCAAATGCACCGAGATATTGACAGAACCACAGAAATGAGAATTTTCAATTGTCATAATACTTGACAATCAATAAGCTACAGCCACCATGCATGCAGTCTTTTAAAAACATGGATGAAACACTAACCTGTAGTCAACGAAGCTATCAAGCACTTCGAAAAACAGCCACACAAAAGCTTCTGTTTCAATACTGATTTTGGTATTGAAGAATATTAAGAATATAGACCCCAACAGAAACTTTACTTTTTGTTACATTTCCTTACACAAATAAATGAAAACATGAAAATATACGGAGTTGATAGTGGCAGAGGATTAATTAGACATAAATAAAAATATTAATTCAAAGATATGCAAAATGAAAAGTTGGGACCGGAGACAAAGATCATCTGTTCTATGAGTTGCAATGTTACATGCAAATGAATCGAGAAGAGGAAGAAAGTTTACCGAATGCAACGCAGCAGCAGCTGAGCTTGTTGCTGAGTGTTGACCAGCCGACGACTGAACGTCGCTTTCCTTTTGGTTTTGGAAAGTTCAAAAGTCTGAAGACTGAAGATTCTTCCATAATAATGTACACGCTCACCAGTCCCACCCCTAACCGGGTCTTGCCAATTCAGCAAAAGGGGCCCACCTAGATAAGGATCAAGGAAAAAGAGTCTTTACTTGCAAACTAGTGGTTTCAAGTTCGAACCCCTATGACATATTGATAGTGTGTGTATGTA